TGTAACGGCCTGCATGTATGGCAGTGCAAGGGGGGGCACGTGTATGGTGGGGTTTGCGTGTGGGACTTGCCCTATGAACATGCATGCTCTCCCCCTCCCTCCCTCATTGCACGCACGCACGCACGCTCTCCCCCTCCAGCTACTGGCCCTGGGGTACATGCTCCCGCAGTCTGGTGATGCAGCTGAGGGCCAAGTGGTGTTGGAGCAGCCAGCAGCGTGCAGGGAAGCAGTGAAAGCTGCAGCAGGCAGAGGCTTCCAGTTGGGGGGAGGGGTGGGGGCAGGGCAGGGCTGATTTTGCTACTAAGTCCTGCTGGCTTGCCCAGAGACCTACTGCCCCTGGCTCCTGTCATCCTTGACAGGCAGTCAGAAGCAGATAAATATACATTTTCCAAATTATTTAGGGGCTCTGCAGGCTGGATAGAATGGCCTGGCAGGCTGGATCTGGCCCACAGGCTGTATTTTGCCTGTCCCTGATTTATGGAGTACCTGTACAAAAACACAAGAGGTCTATGGGCCAACGAGAGGTAAAGTGCTGCTCGACCTGGTACTGGCAACTGGGGATGACCTAATCAATGACCTAATGATCAAGAGGAAGCTGGGTGACGGTGACCATGAGCTGATCACCTTCACCATCCGCCGTAAAGCTGGCAAGTCAGTCAGCAATACGGAAGTCCTAGACTTCAGGAAAGCTAGCTTTGACAAGCTCAGGAGGCTTGTCTGTGAGGCCCTAAGGGACCACAACACCAAAGGGAGGGGAGTCCAGGAAGAGTTGGTTGCTCCTTAAAGGGAGCGATCCTCAGTGCAAAAGCTAATGCTATTCCATCTTGGAGGAAAGGCAGCAAAAGGGCACAGCAGCCCCCTTGGCTCTCCAGGGAACTAGTGGACCTCCTGTGGCTAAAAAGAAAGGCCTACAAAAGGATGAAGGATGGGATCCACATCCAAGAAGGAATATTCCGTACTGGTCTGGTGGGAGCTGGAGGAAAAGCAAGGGCAACACTGGACCCCTGCCAAACTAGATAGGACAACTGATGACCAACACCCAGGAAAAAGCCAACCTATTAAATGGGTACTTTGCGTCGGTCTTTCATCAGTCCCACGGGATGCCCCTGCCCATTATGGGACAGGGAGTCCTGGGTGAGGGACATTCCCTGCCCTCCATCAATGTTGACCTCGCAAAGGAACACCTTGAGAGGCTGGATACCTTCAAGTCAGGCAGCCCAGACCATTTACACCCCAGGGTATTCAAGGAGCTGGCTAGCATCATAACCCAGCCCCTGGCACAGATCTTTGAGACTCCTGGTGCTCTGGTGAAGTTTCTGTAGATTGGAAGAAGGCCAATGTGGTGCCTATCTTCAAGAAAGGGAGGAAAGTGGATCCGGCTAACTACAGGCCCATCAGCCTGACCTCTATCCTGAGAAAGGTCTTAGAAAAGATTATCAAAGAGGCCATTCTTAACAGACCAGCCGATGGCAACATCCTCAGGGATAGCCAGCATGGGTTTGTTGTGGGTAGGTTTTGCCTGACCAATCTTATCTCCTTTTACGACCATGTGACCTATCACCTGGACAAGGGAGATGAGATTGATGTCATATACCTTGACTTCAAAAAAGTCTTCGATCTGGTATCCCATGATCACCTCTGGTAAAACTGGCCAACTGCAGCCTCGGGTCCACCACGATCCGCTGGCTGGGGAACTGGCTCCATGGTCAGACCCAGAGGGTGGTGGTTGATGGAAGTCAATTGTCACGGTGCCCTGTGACCAGTGGGGTCCCCCAAGGCTCTGTCCTTGGACCTATATTGTTCAACATCTTCAATGATGTGGACATTGGAGTCAGAAGCGGAATGGCCAAGTTCGCTGATGGTACCCAACTCTGGGGTAAAGCACCCACACCTGAGGACAGGAAGGCGATCCAGGCTGACCTTGACAGGCTCAGGAAATGAGCGGATGAGAACCTGATGGTATTTTACACCGAAAGATGCAAGGTTCTCTACCTTGGGAGCAAAAATCTGCAGCATCCTTATAGCCTCGGCAGTGCTACGTTGGTTAGCACTACGGATGGAAGGGATTTGGGGGTCGTGATTGACCACAAGATGAACATGAGCCTTCACTGTGATGCTGCGGCTAGTAAAGCGAGCAAAATACTGGCTTGCATCCACAGATGCTTCTCAAGCAAATCCTGGGACGTCATTCTCCCATTGTACTCGGCCTTGGTGAGGCTGCAACTGGAGTACTGCGTCCAGTTTTGGGCTCCACAATCGAAAAAGGATGTGGAGAAGCTTGAGAGAGTCCAGAGAAGAGCCACGTGCATGATCAGAGGTCAGGAAAACAGACCTTACAATGACATGCTGAGAGCTATAAGTCTCTTTAGCTTGGAAAAGCACAGGCTCAGGGGTGATCTGATGGCCACCTCTAAGTTTATCAGGGGTGTTCATCAGGATCTGGGGGAACGATTGTTCACCAGAGCTCCCCAAGGGATGACAAGGTCAAACAGTTATAAACTCCTGCAAGACCGTTTCATGCTGGACATAAGGAAGAATTTCTTCACTGTCCAAGCCCCCAAGGTCTGGAATACCCTGCCACCGGAGGTGGTTCATGCACCTACATCGAACGCCTTTAAGAGAAATTTGGATGCTTATCTTGTTGGGATCCTATGACACCAGCTGACTTCCTGCCCCTCGGTCAGGGGGCTGGACTCTACCTTCTGAGGTCCCTTCCAGCCCTAATGTCCGTGAAATCTATGAACTTGAACAGTATCAGAAAAAAGGTAGCATACATCAATTCTGGATAAGCCAAGTGCATGGGTGCAATACGTACATTGCTATAGCCATGTTTAATTTCAAGGTTATTGTTCTCAAATTTGCGCCTCACTTCTACGCGCTCAGGCAAAACTGGGTTAGACAGTAAGGAAAGGGGGAAGAGGCTGCCTGGGGAAAAAGGTAGAGGGAAGCAGAGAGCAAAAGGGGCTACCTGACCCCCCCCAGATTTAATTTTCCTACCGTAGGAGTTGAAGGGAGACAAAAATCAAGGCACAACTCTAATAATTAGATCCTATACCTGGAAAAGGATAAAAAAAATATTTTTTCCTCCAATATAATTATTGGGGGGTCATCTTATAAATCAGGACCATCTTCTATTTGACTAAATACAGTATATACCTTCTCAGTTTTCTCTTCTCTAAAATAAGTCATCCCAACTCCTTTAATCTTTCCTTATATGCCATGTCTTCCTGACCACTATTTTAAATGTTTAAATCCTCCCAGTTACCCACAACTTCCTTAATATGTGGTGCCCAACACTTAACCCAGCACTCCAAGTGAGACCTTAGTGCTGAACACAGTGGAACTTATATTCTGTGACTTGCATGATGCTCCTATTAATATATTCCATTATATCACTGCCCTTTCCTCCACTGCCTCAGTGCTACTACATTTGGGACTCACTCACACACTATCATAACCCTCAGCCCTTTTTTTGCAATACCAAGGCCAAGCCAGTCATCCTCCATTTTGGGATCTCCAAACCTCCATCTTGTAACCATGAAAGTGGAACTGGTACTATCCACAATCCACTGAGGTCGTCTTCTTTTTTTTTTTTTTTTTTAAACTAAGACTTCCTGCACTTGAAGAATTCAGGAACTAAATGGCTCAGAGGTGCATATCTTCATCCGTCATTTCAGTGAGTTACAGAAAATGGTTGACCTCTGCAAGTGGTGGGAAGGAAGTGAGAGCATATTGTTCATGCTAGTTTGATTGTATCATACCGCATGGAGCACAAACTCAGCAACAGATGGAAATCTGATTACACTGGTACGTAAATCATTACTCTTGTGAGATGTTAAGTAGAAGGACGAGGAAAACTTCAGCTCACTCTTCATCTCTCCACTCCAAATGAACCTCTTCCAGGCTTTGGTCCTAGAGCTACTGAGGAGTGCATGTAAGCTTGCTTTTCCAAAATGCTTCACTGCAGGCAAAGCAGACAACTACAGTATATTAATGTAGCTTGTTCAAATGGATCAGAACCATGGCAGAAAATTTAAATCACAAGCTACAGATTTCTAAATTGAACTGATCTGCTATCTAATTTCAGATATGCAAATATATTTTATCTTGTGATTTTATTTTGGCAGAGGACTTGTTTTTTTAAAACCTGGGGATGTTTAAAACAAAGAAAAATAATCTTATCTGACAAAGTTAGTCAAAGATCTAAAAAGACTTATAAAAAGCAAAAAGTATTTAATCTACATTCTTAAAAGATCAAGAGAAAGCTTTAGGGTCAGTTTATTAGATACTCTTGAAGGATCAAAGAAATTCTTGAAGGGTAAATTATTTTCTTTTGAACTTTTCAAAGCACAGAACATCAAAATAATTCTCATTCATCTTTTGAACTCTAATCAGAAACACAGTATGTCCCCTGTAATCTGTAGGTCAGAAGAATAGAGACCAGAATAAAGAATACAGCAGAAGTGCACTATCAAATTATGACTGTGTCATGTATTGTTGTAATATACCTTTGTGGTCAAACAAACAGTTGCAAGGACAGCTAGATCTTTTAAAATAGTACACTAGTTGACAACTGAAGGAATTACAGAAAGGTATGGACTTTTATTTCTTGATTGTTGAATAAGATCCTTACTCTGAGATGTAACAGAAACATTTTAGAATTTTCTTTTAAGACTAATATTGCTGAAGAAACTCTGCTCCCTTAGCTTCATTAGATATCATAAACAGTCCAATAGCTCAGAAAACCCCATTTTTCTTTTTTTGACATTTCTGATGCACAAGTCAGTTTGTTTAAAAAAAACCCAAAATACTTACAACTCTCAGCCTATACTATATTATTGATTCAATGCCAAAACCAAGCATTTTCATTAAGTAAAATCAATGATGACAGAAAAGGACAGTGTCTCCCTTTAAAAGGTGTAAGAGACTGATAATATTATAAACAAATATGACTTAGAAAGCTTTAGATTTACTACTAACACATACAAATTATGTCTTACCCTGGTAACTTTTTACTGGGCTCATCTTGTTGTAATCTTCTGATAAAATAAATTCCTATAAAAGAGAAAAAGAAAAAATTATTTAAAAATATATCCATACTTTTATTCAAATTGTAACAAACATTATATAATTATCCTCATATTCATACCCAGCATTGTCTACAATTTTGCCAGTCTGCTCACAGTATTTTACACAAGTACCTCTTCAAAATATTTTGCTCTTTAAAATTAGTTTAAATGATGCCAAATTAGAGATTTCCAGTAACATAGGTGAAAAAAACAGCTACTAAGAACCAGTGCTGTAGCAAGGAGTGGGGCAAGCGGGAAGACCACCCAGGCAGGGAAGCAAAGGGGCGCCAAAAGGCACTGCCCAGCTGGGGTGGGACATGGGACAGAGCCTCAAGTGCAGGGGTGGGCAAAATATGGCCCGCAGGCCGGATTGAGCCCACGAGGACATTCTATCTGGCCCGCAGGGCCCCTAAAAAAAAAATGTAGAAAGTTAATAATTTATCTGTCTTTAGTTCCTGTAAAAAATGACAGGAATCGGGGGCAGTAGGACCCAGGGGAAGCTCAGACGCTGGGCAGCCCAGAGGCGGCGGGGGCAAACACTGCCTGGAATGGCAAGTGGGGGGGGGGCACAGCTGCTGCTGCCACAGTGCAGCACCAACAGGTGAACCTGGAGCCAGCGTGGGGCCCAAGCTGGCAGTGGGGGTGGGTTACAAGCTGGTGCTGAGCGCAGGAAAAGTGGCCCCTCATTCGCCCTGTGGGCGGCATCCCACGCTGCAGCTGCCAGCAGTCCACATGGGGCTGCCTGTGTCTGCTCAGGGCAGCCCTGCGCAGGTTGTGAGCAGCTGTGGCAGGGAGCGCTGGCCACAGGGTGGGGGTGGGGCCGCTTTTCCCCACATTCAGCACCAGCTCGTTCCCTGCTGAGAAGCAAGGGGTCGGGGCTGCACGCTGCCCCCAGCCTGTACCGTGAGGCTGGGTGGGCACT